TGCGTTCACGAAACAGAACTTTACTTTCGGCGTGTCGACTTTTACACACACCTTTAGCTCATACCGACAACTTTCAGCGCGTCACTAAGATAATACGTTTTAAGCTCTTATTAATAACCGCATCGATTTACAGGACGTCTGCAGCCTCTTTGTTCCTCGGCGTTCTACGGCGCGCCGCCCCGGTTCGCCTTTATCCAACTTTATCAAACGATCCTACGCGCGCTTGCCAACACTAGCTCGACCCAGGGCTTTGCCAGTTCAATGATAATTCTATCGTATTGCGTTTCTTTGATCAGATATAGATACTTACGGTGGCGCATTTTGTGGCCGCTTCTGTGTTCCTGGTCTGGGGCGTGGAGGGGCTGAGAGGTGCGGAGCACAACAAGGCTGCAGGAAAAGAGTGTCTGCTGACGAGCCGAACTACGGAGCGCCGAGCCTGCCGCTAAAAGAAGAGCGTTGCGCCTTTGCTCTAGGCGGGGTCTGGGCGGTTCGAACATGCGCGGCAAAAATACCCGGGAGCCACAGCGCACTGAGCGCCGATAATGCACTTTACGCACCGCCTTTCAACAAAAAATTAGACCTTCAAGCGTACAGTATGGTTTCAGAATGACAGTTTGTGTTTCTATTAAAACATGTTATATATTTTCCACCATTAATAATGCACGTTCAGCAGCTCGCTTGAGTAGGAGTGCTGTATGGGAGAGAATGTGTCGGGACATGATAAGCCATGGAGGGATCGGACCAGGCTTATTGGGAACAAATTTAATAATGTATGGCCATTGTACATTTTATATTGCTTCGAATTTAGACCAGGGAGGAAAACACACTGTGGTTTGAACCTGAGGGAGGAGGAGCGTGGGGAGGGGGGGTAGCGTGGGATGGAAAGGAGAAGGGTCTGCTATTGTCTGCTCTAATGGAGGGTGTTGGGTAAACATGAGTGACATGCTTTTCTCCTCACAGCAGATAAACCGAGGGTGTACCAGGGCGTCCGAGTGAAGACCACAGTCAAAGAGCTGCTGCAGAGGCACAGAGCTCGCGAGGCCGGCCGTAAAAAAGTTAAAACCACGGTAACTCCCTCCCCTCTCTCTATCTCTCTCTCTCTCCAGTACATCCTTACTGTCACCCTGGCCCCAGCCACTATCTCAAAGCATGAAAGGGGGAAATCCCTGATAAACTGCCCCTGTAAATGACTGACTACACATCCTGACGTGTTTAAAAAAGCACACACACCCACACATACAGAGATAGACACAAATATACACACACACACATTTGCAAAAACACTGAAATCGAAAAAAGAAATCTCTCTAATCCAAATCCAAATGTTCTGAGAGGAAATATCTAATAATCCTCCTCCTTCTCCCTCTTCCTCCTGTGGACAGATATCTCAGGCTTGCCTGGATCTCCAGGATCTTTGCGCGACTCACTTTGCAAGTAAGTTCAGTTCAGTGTCTAATGTTAAATGAACCGATTAAAGCTACAGTTTTCCTGCAGCATTTGAATCCAACCTGACCTGAAGCAATCGCAGGCTATACCCACAGTGGCAACGTACAATTTGAAAATACATTTAAGTCAATGTTTGCATGCAGTTTGCAATGATCCAAATGAAAAATCCACAGCCACAACCACAACTAGCCTATAAATCCCTCTGTCTAGTAATCTGTTGCACAAGACCCGCACTGGTTGCAGCACAACGAATTTTGATTAATCTACAAGAAGCAAAGTCAAAAACATAACTTCACTCCCTGATGACAGATGAGCTGCCCTGAACGCCCCAAACCAGGATCAAAATACTCACACGAAAGCCCCAGTCATGACCAACTACTCAGAAAAGTCTACTTGGAATGTAATAAACTACTAACAGCCCATTCCAAAGGGGCAGGGTCCCTTCTTATAAACCAAGGCTACATTTAAATGTGACTGATGGTGTCATGACATCACTCTGAATTTATAGGCCCATTTAAATGTCTTCCTGTTACCATGCAGAGACTAACACTGCGCTCTTGAGGACATTTTCCTCATGCCCATTTAATCTCTATGTGGGCTACGTGGGTAGATGAGTCTTTTAACAACTTTGAACATTTTCAACATTTCAACATTTGATATTCAGCATAAATCCAGAGCGGATGTGTGATGGTGTGTAGCCGATACGAAGATAAATATATATTACAGCTATATGATGCTCAAATGCAGAGTTTCTCTTTTTATTCACTTTCGGGATATTTTCTGTCTAATTTTTACATTGGATTTGGTTAGGTCGCTATGTGGACCCTCCTACCGCGGTTCCCACAGCGGAAGCGAGCGGTTGTGAGCGAGCTCTCCAGCTGCGCGCCGCCTCGTTCCCGTTCCCTGACAGCTCGTGCAGCATCCAGCTCCAAGAGAGCACCTTTAACGACATCCAGCAGCAGTTCGGGGACATGATGTTGCCCAGCAACGGCTACAGCGGCAATAACAACAACAACAACAACAGCACAGGCGGCGGCGGCGGCTACAACGCCTCCCTGCCTCCCCCTCCCACCTTCCCGCTGCCGTGGTGCCATGGACTCTCCTCTGATGCGGACTACTATGGCCCTGGGATGGTAGGTTTCTCCCGCTGACACTAACCTAAGTAGTTTTCGTTGCATTTTAAGATTTCAGGTCGTCTATAAATAATAAACTTACTTTAAAAAACACAGTTTAAAAGTCAGGATGTATGCCGAATATATGGGTGTTTTCAGTCCACTGGTTTACATAATAAACTATGGTCTTACCGTGATGTACTATTTCACCTATACATTACACCTCAGGGAAAGCTTTGGAATAGAGGTTTGCCATGGCTGTTTCTCCCTAGCACAGACCTGTGTTGGGGCTTGAATTCAGGCATGTAGTAATTATATTTGTGTAATATATTGTGAAGCAGATTATTTGGTTTGGTTTGTATTTAGATCTGTTTTTGCTTTATAAACGGAAGTGTATACAAGCTAGGCAATTAATCAATTAGTTGTCAACTATTTTGGTAATCAGTTAATAGTATTGGGGTTTTTTAAAGCTATAGTTTTCCTGCAGCATTTGAATCCAAGCTGACCTAAAGCAATCACAGGCTATACCAACAGTGGCCAAATACAGTTTGAAAATTTAAGTCAGTGTTTGCATACAGTTTGCAGTGACCCAAATGAAAAATCCACAGCCACAACCACAGCTACAAATCTCTCTGTTTAGTAATCTGTTGAACAAGACCGGCACTGGTACTGGTACAACTCAAGCTGATATTGTTACTGGATTATTCTATAAGAAGTAAAGTCAAAAGCATTTAGTAAAAAAGGCGATTCATCAGTTACTTGTCAAAAATATTCTGTCAATTCATAGTTTTGAATCATTTTTTAGGGGGAAAAAATGTTTAAAATCTCTGATTTCAGCCTCTCAAATGTGAATGATATCTGGTTTCTTTAGTCCTCTTTGACAGTAAACTGAATATCTTTGGGTTGTGTACAAAATAAAACATTTGAGGATGTCACCTTGGGCTTTGGGAAACACTGATCAACATTTTTCAACATTTTCTGACATTTTCTGAACCAAACAACCAATCGATTGATTGAAGAAAATGACCTATATTAATCAATAATGAAACTAATCATTAGTTGCAGCCTTAATATATACACTCACCACTAGATGAACATGAATGTTTCAGTAGCTTTAATAAAGGAACATTTCGCCCACAGGCGTCCCTGGTGTGGCCTGGTGTCAGTCTGATCACGTGACACATTTGCGGAATTCCTAGTCAGACATAATCCTCACCAACCACCATGTCTTCCTCTCTCCCTCAGGATCACAGCTACTCGCCGCAGGACTCTTTTTCCTCCTCCTCCTCCTCCTGCTACGACTCACCCACCAGGATGGAGCCCAGCTACCACGGCGTCACCTCCGACCACTACCACTATCAGCACTGCAACCGCCAGGACTGTCACTGCCTGTCCCACTGCTGGCCGGCCCAGCAGGAGAGCTTCTCAGCCCCTGAATACGCACCTTACTACAACCCCACAGACTATGCGTACCCCTGTCCCGTGGAGGACAGCTATTTTAGGAGGGATTTGCAGATGAGCTCTGAAATGTGTTACAACGTACTATGATGAGCAGTATTGTTTTGTGTTTTGACTGTAAATAGGATTCTCTTCAGGTTCTTGGTATGTCTGTTTGCTCGATGGTCTGCTTTGCAATTCAGTGTGTGCTCTGTGACTTCTACTTTGTTGGAGTGAATATTATGAATGCTGAATGGATGGAAATGCTGATATTTTTGTATCAATTCCTTTTTTTACTGCCTAGATTTATTTTCATACACAACTTGTTGCCGTACTAAATAAAAACGTGTTAAAATGAATTTCTCTTTATTGGCAGACATTCACACGGACAGTCTTGTTAAGTCACCCCAGCTGCCACCCCACTTTGGTGCCAAATATTGTCAAATTAAACACATTCATTTAGATTCATTTGAAAAATAACATGTTAAAAAAACAAAATTAATTAGATGATCTGTGATTGAGCCCCATCCAAGCCTGAGACCTTGCTGCAGCAGCCATGGGTTCGACACCGACCTGTGGCCCTTTACTGCATGTCATCCCCTTTCCCCCCCTCCTTTCCTGTCAATCTCCAGCTGTCGCTATCGAATAAAGGCAACAAGCCAAAAATATATTTAAAAAAGTTTCCTTGCCACCCTCTTCACCATCAATATTTCTATAGATCTGCCAAAAATATGCCAGAATATGGGAGGAGAGTCAAAATAAACAAGGCAGGCTGATAACATGTCGGGCTGTGATGGCATCCTGAAAAACTTGACTTAACCTGCAAGGAGGACGTTCACTATAGGAGAAGGCAAAAAATATTTTAAAAAGTGTGCACAGAGAACAGGTTTTTATTAAGATGACGACATGATGAAATCAGTACCACATGCAGTACAGATCGGCAACTATTAAAAGAGAAAAATGAACACAAGCTTCCCTGGAACCCTCTCCATTCACTCACAGGTGTTTAACTGACCAGTATAAAAGCTTCAGCATTTGTCCTGTTCCTCCACTCATTCATTCAGGGTTTTCCTTTAATGTGTCATCCGTCTCCATATGCTTCATATCATTTAGATTTTTGTCTGTCATTCATCAAAGTATCCAAGCTAAGAACTAACTAGGGCTGAGGGTTACATTAAAGAATCACAGACATGACATCATAGTGCTCATGTAATGACCTCATGTCTGTTTAGTTCCTTCAGGCTATTCGACTTGATCAACTGTGATAATGTGACTGTGAAGGTTCTTTGGAAAATTGGCTCAAAACCATTGAAGCAAAAACTCATGCGATGAATGCTCTGTCAGCCTTCAGCAGGAGGTTGTCGATTGTAACATCATCAAACAAGCAGCACAAGGGTACAAATAAAGAAGCCATGTTGTTTTTTCTGGCAGGTCTCTAACTCCTACTGAGGACACTGAGGTCACATCTGAGGCAACATTTCTGGAAATCTGGAGGGTTTAATGAAGTGAAGTGGGTTTATGTCTAATTATTACACATATTCCATGTTGGGTTTTTAAGGCTGATTCTGATTATGTAAATCTGAAGAAAAAAAAACACAAAACATTAAATAAGTGTTATGCTAAATATTCCTCACCAGCAAAGCTGGGTGGGTTTCTGCTGGAGGAATGTCAATGAAAAACATTCATCTTGAACACCAGATCCAGTATGCTTCCACACTGTCAGAGGTAGAACAAATGTCAAAGTTGGGCACAAGGCTTGTAGGAGGGGCAAGTCACTGGCGAGTGGTAACGTAGTGGTGCATAGTGAAAGTTAAACCATTGACCAACAGTCTCAAAAGTAGTGCGTTCTCAAGGCAAAATTACTTAGCTATTAGTAAATGCAAGAACACAGGTTTTACATTGACTGAAATGCATCCAAATGACAGAAAGTACCATCTGCTTCAGTCCCTCCTCTGGTACTTGGCAGCATGGAAACATTTCTTCTCACTCCTAAACAGACTCATGGGGTAGGTGTGGAGACTGACCTGCTTAGGCACATCTCCAAAATCATCCACAATGGTGTCAGGCTCAACTGCACCCTCAGTGCAGCAAACGGTAGCATTCAGAGGAGGACTAGTATTAACCAGTGACACTGACAGTGACACCGAGGACTAAAAAAAAGTGACATCATTAACAACAGTTGGCTTTCAATTTATTTTTATATGCTGTTGAGCCGATCAACCACTTTCTGCTGCGAATGGGGTGGAAATATTCATCTCTAGCTAACTTAAAGACCCAATGACAGACTTTTATTTTTCAAAACTTGAACTCCTGCTCAACTTGTAAAATGTTAAAAGGATTTTAGCTTCACAATGAAAACCCTGACATGCTTTAACACAAGTGAGGGGGCACAGTGAAAGAAGCT